TATTAAAGTTAGAAACATGAAATGAGGCATGTAGAGCCCGGTGTAAATGAGAACCTATAAAAGGGGACTTTTTGGTACTTTTTCGTTCTTAAAAAGGTACTTTTTGAATTTTCTATAATATTGAAACTTGAAACATAAAGTTAAACATTCCTGAATCCTGAGTGAATGAAAATCTGTAGCAAAGAATTTTTGGTACTTTTTCGTTTTTCAACTGGTACTTTTTGTTTTTTATGCAATATTGAACCTAGAACATGTACATATATACAGATGGAATGATAATCTATAAGAATTGTACTTTTAATTCTTCAACTGGTAATGTGCGGCCTCTGGTAGGTTAGTGGTTAGTATTCTAGTCTGGTAGACCGGAAGTGGTGGGTTCGATTCCCACCTGAGGCACTGGTTAAGGAGCGCACAACAGGCCCGATAGAGGCCTAGGTGTATTTCTTCGGTTTTAATGTATATATGTACATCCTCCTTTCAAACTAACTAACTAAATGGTACTTTTTGAATCTGTTTTAATATTAAAATACACAAAATTATACACGCAGCAGCTGATTGAATTGAAATTTCTAAAAAGGGAAGTTTTTCCCACCTTTTCGTCATTGAAATGGTAATTTTTTGATTTTCTGAATTATAGGATTCTGATGGAATAAAAATTTATAAGTGTAAACTTTTTGGTATTTTTCGTTCTTAAATTGCTACTTCTAGAAAAATAGAATTAAACATGCAGTGCTCTGATTAAATGAATATGTATAAAAGGGGATTTTCTGGTACTTTTTTGTTTTCCAAATGGTATTTTTTGATTTTCTGTTTCGTCAAGGGTTTTTAAGATTTGGCACAATCGAATATAAAACTTTTCTTTGTTTTATTGAAGTTCAGACTCTAATATTTCATGATTAGTTTAATTTGAAATATTTCCTCTTGATGACCACTGTCTTTTTCTCAATGAGTGAATAATGTCTTTTAGGATTGTTGGATTGTTTTTCAAAAATTTTCGAAAAGTATGGTTAATTGTTATGGTGTCTTAATAGAAAACCATGTAAAAAATAGAAAAAAAAAACGATATTAGCTTGTTATGATAGCAAGATGAAGTGAAAATGGCTTAAGGCTGCTGCTGGCTGACTAGACATAGACAATTGTAAAAAAAACCTGAAAAATAAACAATAAACCTTACTTTACTAACAAACCAACAAAACCAGCAACTTTTAAAAAGTCTAAATTTTTGAAAAAAAAACTGTAATAAAAAACATATTCCTTTCCAATAAAATAATAATCATGTTTAATAAACACCCTAAAATACATATATGCACAAAAAAAATAGCAGTATTAAACATAAATTTACACTTAATAGCAAATAACACATATGAGTGTACAACAGATGTTGCTGGGTGGTGTTTTCTTTGCAGTTAATAATAGCATTTGATTATTTGTTAAACAAAAAAAATCATTAGTTTAGTATAAAATATTTCAAATATCGACACGTTTTTGCTATTTTATCAATAAATATTTTGTGTTGTTTTGATTTTATAACCAGCAGCAGCTGTTGCCATTTACCATTGCTCAACACTTAACAAAGTAAAATATGTATATACAAGAAGTGGTAGGAAAAAAAAGGTCAAAAGCCAAGAAATTTCAGAGCTAATGTTTTGCTAATACTTCATCATATATAAAACTCCTTACTCTCTAGTGTTAAAACAACCATAAAACAAGCTGCTTTAAAAAAAATATAAAAAATTCTTGGTAAATGAATTCTTCTTTTTCTTTTTTTTCCAAACAAACAGAAAAAGTGCTGAGGTAAGCTGCTATTATAATAGGGAAAAAAATTAACAGAAAAAAACTGGAAAAAATCTCAGGACACATAAAAAATTTACTCATTCCTTTTTAAGAAGATACACAATATTTTGTATATAAGTATAAAACAGATGATATGTAGGAAATATTACACAAAGTATGTAAAACGTTTCTTTTACTCGTATTCATTTATTTAAAAGCAGAGGTAGCCAATTCCCAAAGATGACTAATAATCAGTACTTTTTAAAATCTTTTAAAATTCTTGAAGAGGCTCTTCTTACAAAGTACTAACAAGTAAGTGGTTGACATTCTGCTATGCCGAATCTTATATACCCTTCACCAATACCAGTTCGAAAACGAAAAAGTACAAGAAAGTTCCCTTTTTTAAAGTTCCCTTTTAAAAAGTACCAGTTGAAGAACGAAAAAGTACCAAAGAATCTTTTCCTACAGAATTTCATTCCCTCATGAGTCTCGGTACCAAAGTCACACAAACATATACCATATGAAATAGCATGTTGTTGTTTTTTCTTTTTGTTAAAGCATCTTTTAATGAAATTTTCGAGGTTGTTTGGACCTTTTGCTCATGTCTGAAAGAATTATTGATAATTTGGATCCCAAAATTATAAAATAGTTACGATTCCTACCCTCTTTAACCAGTGTCCCTAATGGGAATCGAAACGACAACCTCCGGTCTGGCAGACTACAACTCTAAGTACTTACCTACCGGAGTCACATGAACCTAGTTGGAAGTTTTGAAGTGTGTGCCACAAAACATACAAATATTTGTAAAAAGATGACTCAGTGTTCTCGACAACGGGTGATTACAATGCATCGACTAGCAGCATCATGCAAGACAGACTGTCATACATGAATATCATATTGGAGGCCTAGCATTTGGACATGACCTCTCTCTTGATTTGGAAGGGAGCTTATCTAAAGCCCACACCTTTCTAAAAGTCGACGACCATGTGGAATTACTCTCAGGGGAACATTAAAAGTTTTGTTCCCCAAGCAAAGTACCAAAAGGGATACTTATTAAGGATTAGATGTACTAAATTACTTTTCGGCTTTTCCGATCGTCAAAATGTTTATTTTTTTAGGGCATTTCTATAGATTGGTCCAGCGAACAATCTAATCTATTGAAAAGTCGGTAAACTATCCTTTAGATTAGTCTATGGAATATTTTATGAACTAGTCTATGGACTCTATTAAGTAGTCTATACCTGCAAAAATTGAGACTATTCAACACACGCGTGTAAAGACTACTCCTCAAAGGACTAGGACTGGTCCAAAACTAATCCAAACATATGGAAAAAACATACAACATTTAACCTTGTGATGTCCTAGGTGAGGACCATGTAATCCATCGCTTAAATTATGGGAGCACTTGATACGCAACATGGTCACATGTAAAGCTGTTTTCAAAAAAATAAACATGATCCATGCCTGCATTACATAGGACTGTACTCCAATATTGTTTACAGGGGAGTAGTTTTTGGAATACCTAAATACCAATAATTTTTGTAAATTAACTTTTGTCTAGTCTTTGGACTAAGTAGTCTACATACTACTCTATTGCCTCTATTGACTAGATTATAGACAGGTCTTTTGGCTAGTCTGCTAACTATTCCATGAACTAGTCCATTAACTAGTATTTTGGGGTATTGAAGTATTTCTCGATGTCAAAAAGTACTGAAATTTTCATCCCTGATATTAGTTCTACAGATTGTTTATGAAATCATTTATTAAATTATTAAGTTCGACATGATGTCTAAAAGGTCCTCTACTTTCGATTTAGAAGTTGAAGGTTTGTGGAACTTCATAAAAACCTAAGCATTTTTGTACAAAACATAGAAAACAGTAAATTTTTTGTTACAATTTTACTCAAAATTTACCTTTAAAGAAAAGGTTTGGGAATCTCTTTCATTTAATGTTATGGCGAGTGCGTGCACCACATTATGTGAAATGATTTTCTCAGACATTGCGGCAAATTCATAAAAATTACCCGTACAAAGTGTGAGACCATTTTATTGGGGGTACGAGTGACACATACTCGTCTGTATACTCATATTTGTCACACTCCCCTCTTAAACGTTATTTTTGGTGTTGATAGCAGTCTCATTATCATATTAAAATATAGAAAAAATAACGACAACATGATATAAAATTTAAGATAGGTCGGGGTTTTGTGTTTATGGTTAGAGCAGAATATAGCGACTGTTTTGAATATTTGAAAAATGTTTGTTAACGTGAACTTTTTTAATAAAATTATGGCTTATTAGGAATGTAGGAGTTGGTGTTGAAAGAGGAGTGAGGAGACATGGGCAATATTGTTGTCATTTTTTTTTTTTTTTTTTTTTTGGAAAATGATGGGCTTTAGACTGCAAAATATATTTTTTATGTTATATTGTCCTGTAAAATGTTTTAGTTTGGAGGACTGGTTTTAAATGTGAGATATAACAAAATATTTAACATTTTTTTAGGAAAATTGTAATTTATCTTGTCAAATGCCTTAGAAAGTCTTAGAATTGGATGAGATCCTTACGTAGTTTGAGAGGCCAGTTTAATGTTTCCTTAGAAAATATCTGAAACTCATAACAGAATAGTTTGAGGGTCCTAATTTTATTTGATATTTCCCATGCTTAAATTAAAAGAATGTGAAGTACTCAATATTAAAAAAAAAAAATACTATTTAAAAATTATTCTTAATCATTATTAATGCATTTATTTAGGGTATTTTTATTTTATTATATTTTAAAGATAATATTTTTCTTAAGAATAACAAAATTCAAATGATAATGAAAATTATATCAATTTCCGATAGTGGTATTGTGACAATTTGTGGGAGTTTAACAAATTTTTCACGGAAATAATGATTTATTATTAGTGAAAAGTTGTGATTCCCTAAAGAATGCGATCAGGCACTATAGTATGGGCAAGGCCTCGAAATGAATAGATATTTGTAATAATTTCTATTAGAGGAATTAAGTACTTGAAATTATATCAGATATCTCTTTTTCTAATTTTAATTAAAACAAAGGGGATTAACATAAATATTTATATATTTTCAAAATTAAATATAGAAACAACTCTACGCTATAATCAAACCAAACAAATAATAAACACCATGTCTGGGAAGTACCGTCGTGACACAACCATAAAACCATCACTTCAATCAAAGAAAATTTTAGCAAAAAAGTATAAAATGCCTACACTTAATCCATCAGAAAACAGTATTCCACAAGACTTTCCTACAGCACAACACAACGCAAAATAATAATATAACAAAATGACTACAAATATGGGTGGATCTTGCAACACAAATCCCAGAGATCAAAGCAATGATGTTGTCCTAAATGTTACCAGGACTATGGGAGATGAAAAAAATAATGCCGCAGTGGGTGCCTTTGTGGCGGCAAATGATCATCGTGGACCCAAAATGGGTACAGTAGGAGCTTTTGGCAATGTTAATAGGTAAGCAAAACTTTCATTAAACTAACTTCAGATTAATCTATAGTTAAGACTGTTCTATAGTTTAAACTGTATTCTACAGTTATATAGACTTTAGTTAAGACTATGGATATATAGTCTGATCTACAGTAAAAGGCTATAGATCCTCTGTTAAGTGTTCATTATTTTCAAAAACGTTTAACTAAATTTATGTTTATTTTCTTTTCTAGTAATGGCCATGGCCTCTCTGTGGGTGTTAATCATACTCCTAAGTTTAATATGACAACTGTGGAAGCTACTGCCAAGGCAAATCTTTGGACCTCGTCTAATCAGAATACATCTATTAATGCTCACGCTACTCATAGTCAGCATGTTAGTGGTCCTATGACTGGTTTTAAAAGTAACAATTATGGTTTTGGTATTAATCATAGATTTTAGAAAAGTATTTTAAATTATCAATATTTATAGTGGTTTATTATTTATTTATAATCTTATTTGCATTGTTCCTGGAAAAAATATTAATTAATAAATAAAATAAATTAAAAAAATATAAATTTGCATTTTAAATAAATTAATGTCTAATAAAAGAATACATTTTATAAGTAAATTTTGAAAAACTTACAAATTATCACAAATTGTTTTTATATTTCAATAAATTTTTTGTTTTTTTGTATTTCAATACAAAAAACAATACAATTGCAACTTTTAGTTATTGAGCATTTGGATTGCTTGAGAGGTTCCTTTAGAAATTTGTAATTCTAACTTGGGGAAAGATAATCTTTTAAGAAGACGTTTGAGAATGCACATGTTTTAACAATTACATGTTTCACATTATGTATTTTTTCCTCAGACTTTTTGACAAAAATCGTATAAAATACTCATACAAAGTATGTGTCCATACAGTTTAGTTCTGAGTACAACTTACTCGTTGGTTTTCTCATTTTTTTCACATACCTACACCCCATAAAAGTATTTTCCAAAAAGAGGAATCATTATAATTCTCATTTAATTTAGAATACTGTACGCCTAAAGAGGTATATCGTTCGCAAAGGTAGATTTTTAATTTCCAACACAAGAACAGTTTTTTGGCAAGGATTTCAACACACACAAAAAAACCGTTTTCATACCTGACTTCAGCTCATAACTTTGACAAATCTTATGTTTAATAAAAACAACAAAAACATGTGATATATATTTAGCAAAAGCCATAATTGCAACTTCGTTCCGTAGCGAACCTCAGTCTTACTCGGTCAAAACTTGTCAACTCAGCGACAGCTGTATCAACCTCGGAAAGAACTATCGGCTACAGTCCAACTGTTACAACAATAGCATAATAGCACAATAGTACTTTTGACGTATGTTCATGTGTACATTATTTGTTGATTTTAAATAGCAAACTTCTCGAAAGAGAAGTAACAAACATTACTCTTTTATTTGATAGATAGATAGATAGATAGATAGATAGATAGATAGATAGATAGATAGATAGATAGATAGATAGATAGATAGATAGATAGATAGATAGATAGACAGATAGATAGATAGATAGATAGATAGATAGATAGATAGATAGATAGATAGATAGATAGATAGATAGATAGATAGATAGATAGATAGATAGATAGATAGATAGATAGACAGATAGATAGATAGATAGATAGATAGATAGATAGATAGATAGATAGATAGATAGATAGATAGATAGATAGATAGATAGATAGATAGATAGATAGATAGATAGATAGATAGATAGATAGATAGATAGATAGATAGATAGATAGATAGATAGATAGATAGATAGATAGATAGATAGATAGATAGATAGATAGATAGATAGATAGATAGATAGATAGATAGATAGATAGATAGATAGATAGATAGATAGATAGATAGATAGATAGATAGATAGATAGATAGATGATAGATAGATAGATAGATAGATAGATAGATAGATAGATAGCTACTACAATCATCATTGAGTCTAAAATTAAATATTGGTTCCAAAATTCCTTTTTTGGTGATGTGAACAATGTGCCTTAAAAATAGTTTAAATTTCCTGATTTCTCACAAAAATAGTTTTTATATTAAGAATAATGTTATTCCTGTAAAAAAATCACTAGAACTTTTGTACATTTTTTATGGTTCTTTTATTTCGTATCTTAAATAATAAAAGGGGAATAACATGATAAATTTAGTAAATATTAACCAACTTGCAATATAACAATCGAAATGATTAACACACTGCAGGGGAAGTACTCTGACCAAAAAAAAAGAAATGCAGAAATTCAGTTAACACAAAAGTATAAAATGACTTGAAATAAGCCAATAGAAATCAGTATTCTCAAGACCTTCAAAGAAAACAGTTGAATCAAAAAAAGAATAAAACAAAATGACTACAAATATTGGTGGATCTTGCAACACAAATCCCAGAGATCAAAGCAATGATGTTCTTCTTAATCTCACCAGAACTATTGGAGATGAAAAACAAAATGCCACTGTAGGAGCATTTGTGGCTGCCAATGATCATCGTGGTCCTCAAATGGGTACTGTGGGAGCTTTTGCCAATGTTAATGCGTAAGTCTGAGTTGTATTATTTTAATAAATTAATATTTTATGATTTTTATTTTTATATTTCCAGTAATGGCCATGCCGCCTCTTTGGGTATTAATCATACTCCTAAGTATAATATGACAACTATGGAAGCTTCTGCTACAGCAAATCTTTGGACTTCGGCTAATCAGAATACATCTTTAAATGCTACTGCTTCTCATAGTCAACATGTTAGTGGTCCTATGACTGGTTTTAAAAGCAACAATTATATGTTAAATCTCAATCATAGATTTTAAAAAATTTATTTTATTATTTTTATTTGTTAATCTTTTATCTTTATAATAAGTAGAGATTTATGTATAAAAAGCGTTAATGGTTCCTTTAAAATAATTTTTAAATTAATAAAACATATTAAATTTTATATAAAATATATAATTTGTTTGCTATTTAAATGAATGTAGGATTTCAAAGACAACAACATACCTAAAGAATTGTGAAAAATTACTTCCAATTTTCACATATCAAAAAGAAAGCAAGTAGATAATTGAATCCCGGAGATATCTAGGGCCTTAAAGAATTGATTTCAACAAAACATACATATAGACAGACAGAGAGTCATTGCTAAATTGACATCGCTTGTCTATAAGTTTTCAGAATATAATCCCAAAAATTATAATATAGAAATTACAAATGGAATGACAACATTCTATAAACCTTTCGATGTTGAAGGTAAATAGAAATCTAAATCATTAGATTATATTAGAAAGGTCACTAAGCACCTGTTTTGGCTCAATTCACACATGAAAATAACGGGTTTGATTGGTGAGAGGTTGAATATTTCCTTCGGGGTTAGTGAAACAGCACACAAGATTTTCGACGTGATCCTAGCACTGGACAGTTACACAATATGTGTTCAGAGGTTTCTTCCTGACAGCCACAAAATCTGCATAACTTTGATATGGCGTTACCTAGGATGTATTGGTGATATCTGAGAACGCAGTGTCTTATGAGTAATCCTGTTAGTATTCTAAGATTATTTTTGTTAAGCGACAACAACTTTTGAGATTTCCCCTTAGATAGCGTTGTTGTTGTTGTAACAGTTAATAGTATACAATAATCTAGTTGGGGAGTTCTATATCAATGTCAAGGCCTAAAAATTGTTATTGTTACTTCAACTGGATGCGTCCATAAATCCATTGGACAGAGTTAAGTAAGGTTGGCTGAGCTGTTGAATATGTGTTGGGTGTGATAAGGACCCTGACCACATGCAGGACATTCGTTGGGGACGACACGGTCTATAAGTGACCAGTAGGCATTGAGCCTGTTGCTCCATCCTGATCTTAGTTGTGCCAGAACTACTCTTGTTTTCCGCGGCTGGTATGGGTATGGGTTTCTATGAATGTCGTTCAGTCCGTTATAGTCCTTTGAGCGGCATTTTGGCAGTTTTGAATGTTTCTCCACTGGGTATCACTAACAAGGATTCTTTATCCATACCCCAAGTGCTGCCGGCTAGCGCTTTGAGGACCTTGTTTTTACAACGCAATCTGTGCGCGATTGCAGTGGCGTGAGCTGAGGAAGTAAATAGGATATCAAATGTGCCCTCCAAGATTTTTGGATGGTGCACGGTCGAAGGCTTTCGACAAGTCAAGAGCCTCTAGGACCGTCCTTTCATAGGACTTCTGCTGACTTAAGCCTTGTGAGATCCGAGTGTCAATGGCGGTTAATGCTGTGGTGGTGCTGTGCATTTTGCGGAAACCATGCTGGTGATGAGCTGCTATTGGGTGGCTGGACCGCTGGTCAGGTACTCATATAGCGTAATTAAGCGCTTTGTCTGTCTAAATTGTAGTTTCCCAGTGGCGTGCAAATTCCGATTCGACACTTCAAATCATACTTTTAACACAAAAAATCAATATTTAAAATAGTATTTAGACTTTTCCGGTAACAATATGTTAGCGGTAAGTGTAATAATAGCTAAATAGGACACAGTAGAGCGAACTTTGGAAAAATAATATGTTTTTAAGAAAATTTGAATATATTCATTAGAATTCATTGACGAAGCAATCCGCCGAAAAAATATTAAGAATTTTCATCTATTATTAGTTTTCAGTTTATTTTAAAAATTTTATTTTACATACATATCTATTAAAATTTAATTTAATTTTTAAGTGGTACTTTGTTTTGTAATCGATTGACCAATCGATTTGAACAACCAATAGACTTTATATTATATATTTATATATTACATAAAACAAAATATTTCTTTAACATCGTATTAGTACTATTTTGAAACTGATTTTCTTTGAATTGTTATTAAAATTTTCTTTAAAATTAATCTAAAAATAAAAGTGAAACATTTCCTCTTTGTCAAAAAATATACAACCAAACAAACATATCTATAGATACCCATAGATCTGCACATACATGGAGACATACAAATGTATCTATATGAATGTTTAAAGATGTTTTTAAAATATATGCTGTATATCGTTTTATTTCATAATTTAAGAAAATGAAAAGGGGAAACACCAACAAAATCGGTGATTTCTTTATTGTTATTTTATTTTAAAATTAAATATCTACTATTTATATGAAACTGTAAAGTACCACAAGAAAATATAACAAGACAAATGATTTAAGAAAAGGCTATAAAAAGTCAATGTATTTCCTAAAACTATAACAGTTTCCTAACAAGCTTTAAACTTAACACATTTAAAAGATAAACAATTTGTATAATCAAACAATAAAACAATGGCTGATATTGCAGGAACCGTAAAAGCTAATCCTAATGGTGGTCAAGACATTAATGTTCAAGCGATGAAAAGTTTTGGTGATGAAAAGGTCAATGCTGCTGTAGGAGTATTTGCTGCCGGCAATGATAGCAAGGGACCAGTAACTACAGGAGCTTTTGGAGCCTTAAATGCGTAAGTTGAAAAATAAATATCATCTACCTATAAGGTTTAAGTATTAACTTTCTCTTTTCCTTATTTCTTTAGCAATGGCCATGGTGTCTCCATACAACATTCCAATACCCCCGGTGTTGGTAATAATTTATCGGAAAACTTGCGTTTGAATGTTTTAAAAACTGATCAGCATGCCTTAGATGTCAATGCCTTTCATGGTAGAACTCAACTGCAAAATGGTTTAAAATTTGATAATGTTGGAGCCAACACCAGCTGGAATAGTGCCCAGGGTCATAGTGCCTCCGTGGGTGTTAATCATATACCCAAATTTAATATGACCACAGTAAATGCTGCCGCTAATGCTAATCTATGGACTTCTTCTAATCAAGCTTCTTCATTGAATTTAAATGCTAATGCTTCAAGACATGTTGCCGGACCATTTAGGGGTAAAAATGATTTTGGTGCCGGTTTGGGTTTTACTCATAGATTTTAAAGTGTATGTTTAAATTTGGTGATATTATTTATTACTTTTTTAAATTTTGTTGTTATAAAGAATAAATAGAAAGTAGTTTTTAAATAATAAACTTTTTTAATTTCATGATGTTGTTGTTGCATATTTTTGGGGGGTAATGTACGCTCTTATCAAAATAAAAGACCTATAGGTCAACTATGCTTAATCAGGTTAATTAGATAGTTAAAGTTAAAAACTGAAACTGGTTTTTAAATTGTTATACAAATACAAAATTTAGTCATAAAGTTAAAATATGACTCATTGAGAGTTATTTAATTTATGTTTTAAACTAACCGATAAAAACAATTTTATAAAAATATATAATAAAACGGAGTTATTAAAGTCAAAAGAAGGAATAAATAAAATTTGTTAAGGCTTCGAAGTTCTTAACAGTATTATGAAACAATTTTCAAAAATTTCATAAATTCCCCATAAACCAAAGAACGATTTGATAGTGAAAACTAATTAGTTTTAGTTTTTGAAGAATAATCAGAAAATTTTAATTAAAACAACAAAAAGTGTCTCTAAATTATTTGCTGATTCATTATTTTTAGAATTAATAAACAATTTAGTGCATTTTTTTCAAAGAATTGTGAAATTGTTATTGTAAATGGTCCAAATTTGTTGAAAGTTGTTTTTTAACGAAGAACTCTTTCGGTTAATAGACATTGTTGATAATATTTGGCCATGTATGAATCGGGTAGGGCACAGTTCTAATATGAAAGTATGTTAAAATTAAGACTAAAGACTTTACTTGACTTTACCATTTGCTTGAAATGATTCTAACTTAAGTCATAACATAATTTTTAAGGCTACAATCAAGGTCATTCCTATATATATATACATATAGATTTCGGCGCTTTTTTAGTTATAGAACTTTAAAGTTTAAATTTTTACGCGTAAGAAGATAACACCAAAAGATTTGATAGGCAAAACTAAATTTTCAAAGAAGGCGGTATTAAATTCGACCCAGAGAAACAAGTTCTTGCTACCGGCTGAATGCCGGCACCCCATAAAACACAATAAAAATATTTTTTCTAACAAAAATCTGAGCTGGAGATCTTTATTTGTTCCATTTCTTAAAAATCTTTTATCTCACGACATTTCCTAAGGCATTTTTAATGAAAACATAACATAAGTTATCCAGTAGAACTATTTTTCCTCGAATGTCATTCTTATTTAAATATTAAAGTTGACCGGAAAATTTTCATACAGAAATCATTTTACCGGCAGAACACTTTTCCTATAAACTGTTAGTAGGAAGTTGAGATAATACAGCTTTAATATTTGTTTACATTTAATAAGTTTTGGCGGCAAAATTTCCATTAAATAAATAAAAATTTCTACTTACTCTTTTTTATCATTTGTTGCGGCATCTTGAGCTAAAACCTTGGAGCTAACGCCAATTGTTTTGTTAAAATCTGAATAGTTGCTACAGGCAGTTGTTGATTTGGAGGCAATATTGCCGCCGCCACTAATATTGTTGTTGTTGTTGCTGTTATTGTTTTGATTGCCATTATTGATAGAAGGCACTTTTTTATCGTTGTTTCTACTGGTAGAGATTGGTTGTAATTTTGGCGTATCCATAAACATGTTTGTTAAGATTTTATTAATTAACACCGATAACAATTTAATTTAATTATATTATTATTAAAAATATACACGCACTTTTTTAATTGCCAATTTTAGAACTTTTTAGTAGCACTTGGCTTTTTTTCTTCTTAGAAGCCAAACTTCAACAAACAATTTATTTTTTTCATTTTTTCTCTTTTGCACTTTTATTAATTCACTTACTTTTTACATTATTTACAGTTAATGGTGGGTTAATTCAGTAATTTATTTATTATTTACATTAAATTCCTTAATTTTTGCAAAAATTATTATAAAAGAACTTATAAACAAAATGAACTTTAAATTCTACAAAAAATTTACGCACAATTCACGTGCAATCAGCTGTTTCTCTTCGATTTCGTTTTGTTATCCATTTGACATTTCATGTAATCTGACATTTGGTCTATCGGTGGTTGTGCAAAGCAAAGAAGACGAAGAAAATATAAAAATATAAAATAATTGTTGTTTTTTGAGCTAAGAGAATATGAAAACGAAGAAAATAAACAAAAACAATTTTAAGAGAATATGGTATGAGAAAAAAAGAGAGAATAATAATTTTTCTTATTGGAATATTTTTGTATAGTAATTCTTATAGAAAATTTGTCTCAAATTTTCCAACGGGGATGTAGCTCAGATGGTAGAGCGCTCGCTTAGCATGTGAGAGGTACGGGGATCGATGCCCCGCATCTCCAAATATAATTTTTACAAATTCTTGTGTTTTTTTAATTTTTTGGTATAATTCTCATAAACATTTAAAATAAATTTATATGAAAATTGAAAATTTTCCTAAAAGATTTAGGAGCGACTCAAAATATCTCCATATTTCCCAGATATGTATTATTAGATTGCACAAACCCGTTTTTGAGAAGTAATAACATCTGTATTTGTAAAGTTTGTTATGTTATCCAACAGTCCAATTCGCGGGCTAAGATATTTCTTCGAAATACCCAAAGTTTAAAATCCAAAGAAATATATGCTGATATTTCTTTAAGTAACTACAACATTTCTTTAAGAAAAATTAAATATTAATGTTAAAAAAAGACAGGGCTCAACCGGGATTTGAACCCGGGACCTCTCGCACCCAAAGCGAGAATCATACCCCTAGACCATTGAGCCTCTTGCAGGAAATTTGTTTATAATATTATTTCAATATAAGACTAAACCCAAAATACATAGTATATTGTTTATCAAGATCATATCCATGTTAGTCCAATGAAAAACAAGCATTGACCACTTAAATATAAAAAGAAACTAAATAATGAAAAATTGGTTCATTTCCAAAAAAAAAAAAAAAAAAATAATCAATACAAAAGAAAACTAAACACTGTGAAATATTATTCTGCCCAACATTTTTTATAACGGGGATGTAGCTCAGATGGTAGAGCGCTCGCTTAGCATGTGAGAGGTACGGGGATCGATGCCCCGCATCTCCAACCGGTATTTTTGTTTATCTTTTCTTTATAAATTCATTTTTATACAAATTTAAAACCTCAGCAATTCAATTATGGCTAATAATTGCCGCGTTTTTCTAAGACAATAGTTAAGAATGTGTAAACACATGTTATCCCTTTGGATTGGGCCAGACTAAAGTCAAACAAGACATGTAATTTTTAGACAACAAAACAATAACTGTGCATATAACATGATTTTGTTATAAAATTAAAACAACGCCATTGTTTAAAGGTTGTTTATGTACTTTAACCCTTTAATGTAGCAATGGGCCTTTTTGAAAAGGAGAAAATTCTAAACGATAATAACTTTGTTATATTGACAGCCTGGATATCTCTTAGTAAAGTTTTTTAGTTAAAACAAAAAGTACAACTTTTCGCATTTGCTTAATTGGTGAAAAGTCGACTTTTTGTAGTTTTTATATCGACTTTTTCGATTAGACCCTATATTTTGGTCGACTTTGGAACGTTGTTTTATTAATAAAAAGTCTTACAATTTTGTAAAAGTCCTAAGAAGAAAAGTACAATTTGATCTCTGGATTAAAAATTTTTTGTTGGACTTTAGAAGGACTTTGACTTTTTTCTATAATAAGGTGATTGTTTGAATGACGATTTGCAGAACTGTATCTTAGGGTGAAATAACTGGCGTGCGAAAGCAGTACAACCGTTCCATTTTCGGAATATGTACGAGTTCGTAAACTATACAAGTCGATAGAAGAGTTTTAGGTCTGTACAATTGAAGATTGAATCGTTATTTCAATGACTTTTTTTAAAATGGGTAAGTAGAGGAAATAGTTTATGTAGAGTTAGGACAACGATTTGTCCATAGATTTTAGTACTATTCCGATGACAATTGACATTCATAAGATAGATTCGTTCCCTAACCTCTCGTGTTATTTCAACTTAAATAAATCAATAATATAACCTAAGATTAACACTTCGTTTAAAGTCTCACGTTTATAAAAATTAAGAATGCCCTCATAGGTTTAAAACGAGTTAAATTGAGAAAAATGTATCTTATATTGCTATACTCTGTTTGTTATATCTCATAATCAAATGTCAAACTTAAGCAAATATTTAATTATTCATAACAGAAAAACAACGACAAAAACAACCATGTTTTCCCCCCCAGTTCAAATTCCTTGTTTTTTTACCATATAAAACGCGTTTTATTTTTTTACAACGATGTTTTGTAAATTTTATCCCACAGACTCTGCAAAATGTTAAGTTTTCCTTACTGTAAATAACGATGTCATAAAACCCAACTCCATTGTTGTTTTAACTATTACAACTTATTTTTAGGTAGTATTTGTAACCCGTTCAAAAATGGTTTTTAAAATTATGGTGGCGCAGGTTAAAAGCCTGTAACCTAAAGCATAAACTACCAGTTTTAAAACTCTTACCATTCAGAAACTGATTCTGCTGAGTTTTACAAACTCCTGCACTTATTTAGTTGCTGTGTATCGTGGGTATTTTAAAATTGTGATTCATTTGGGTTGGCAAGATGAAGAAGTAGAATTTTGTTTAAAATTTAATGGCACACGCCGCCAAAACTGACAAAAGTTTTTTTATAACTATTACTACTACTCTCCGCTGTTGCTGTAAGTTTTAATGTGTAAATGACTCGGGTCCCATTCCCTTACTAATTCAGAGCATGTTACTTTTACTAATGAATATATTTTTCTTGTATTGTTTTACATTTAGAAAACTAACAAACAATACAAATGTTTATTTTTAACCAATAATAACGCGCCATTTTCCAAGATACATCTTTCTGCCAAAATGTTAATATCCTGCAAGTTTTATTAGAAGCTAAGAGGGAGTATTAGTTTTAAAAACCCCTTTCGGCTAAAATATCCAAATTAGCACATTTTACATGCGGCTTGGCTTTAGCCATACTTTTTAACTCTTTCCCCCCATATCCGGGGAATTGTATAAATCTTGGCATTTTCTTAGTTTTTGAAGAA